AGGGAAAGAAGATGAAGAAGAAGAGCTAGAAAATGGAAACTACAAGAAGAAGAGAAAAAGAAATCGCAAGAGCCCTAGAATCAATGATTGAAAAATATGGGAAAATTCTTGATGTTTACCTCTCTCTCTCTCTCTCTCTCTCTCTCTCTCTCTCTCTGCATAAGCCACAAACCCTAAATTTTTTATAATCCTTTTGGGTCTGATTTATTAGACAAAAATGGAAAAACAAAAGAAAGATCTGTGTGTTCTTTCCGCTAACCCCACACACCACACAGCAGGATGCCAAAAAGAAGCAATAGAGAGTATTAATTGTTTTTGGTGGAATCAGAAAAAAATATATATATATTTACCGATTCCGATTTTGTGACTTTTAAAAAATACCGATGGGCTTTTTATCTTCTTTTGGTAAAATTAAGAATAAAGAGAATGGCAAGGAAACTTGCAGCCCATCACCAAAACAGACAAATAAAACTAATAAAATAAGTTATTATTTATCTGCTAATACCCTTTTTCCCTTTAATATTAATCGTGTTCTTTATGGAAAAGGAAACAAAACATTTGAACTGGTATTATACACAAAATATTCTAAGAAATAAGAAAAAAAAAACTAGATATATATACTACCATCATATATCTCATCATTCAAATAAATGGCACTCGATTGGAGAATCATGTTCCAAGGAAAAAACTAGATAAAATAAATAAATAAAATTAGGATAAAATAACCGAACTTGTAAAATGGTGAAAATATAATTCCTTAACTTTCCGTTTCACAAATTTATTTATAAATTTATAAAATATATCATTATAATTTTCAAACTAATTTATAAATCAATGTCACCGAGATTTTTCTAATAATATATTTTGTAAGTTTGGAAATAAATTTGTTAAACGAAAAGTTTAAAATTTTATTTATCACCATTTTACAATTTAAGAAATTTTTATGATTTTAGCCTAATAATACTTCCAAACACAAAATTTTCATGTTCTAACTGCATAATATGAGCTCCGAATGCCGACCAATGTGTCCTTTAGACATAAAATCAGACACGTGATTTCCATTGCTACGAGTGTTAAGTTACCAAAATATTATGAAATTTCGTGGGTCAAGCAAAAAAGATGCTTACGTGTTTATGCATAATTTTCCTGAAATTGTAATCTTGAGATTTCTCGTTAATATTGATTAATAAAAATCCCGGGAGAAATTAAATGTATGTGTGCCCGGATAGATTATTAAGCTATAACCATGCACATTTAAATTAGAAAAGGGAGAAATTAATTAAGATTTATTGACTGACCGGTAAGAAAGTAGATCTTTGATCAGCGTGTCAACATCATCGTACACTGACAACTGAATCAGATTATGCCACGTGGTTTTTACTCCATCCAACCACAGTTCGCTTCTGTTCCTGCACACCGACGCCGTGTCGTCGTCTCCACAGATTCTTATTTATAAATAAGAATTTCCATTTTTATAAATGACTGTAACAAAATATCGGTTGAAAGTGGAAAAGGGGAAATCAATTGAGTTAGTGATGTCCCAAATTTCGAAAGCGAGTTTATATATATATTATATATATATAGTGGTGGACCTAGGATGATTTATAGAAGGGGACAAATTAATTTTACTATTTTAATACAGGGGGACATTTTACATATTTATTTAAAAAATTATAAAACTTATAAAGAAAATTAAACTTTTTTAATTAAAACATTGGGGGCAAGGGCCCACATTGCAATATATACATAATAGTTATATTTTCTGTGATGGGACGTCGATTTATATTGATGGTGATTTCCACCGCATACATATACACACACATCTCACATGTGAATGTGTGTATTAAATGCATATAAGAAGATATCACAATCTTGGAAAAATCGAAATCCAGGATCGTATATACATGCATACATATATATATATATATATATGTATTGATATTTTGGCGTCTCTATAAATTTAAAGTAAGAGCGCAATACATTATTATACGAAGTAATGCTATTATTGTTCTAAAACCGATCTTTGGTATCTCCGATCTAAAAGAGAATGTAACAACTAAACCCATATATGCAGTTAATATAATATTTAAAATTATACTAGATGGTATCATCATGAACACCGAAGCATAATCAAATGCAAATTACAAATTACTTTGCAGCTTCCCAAAACATTAAAAAAATTTAAAAGGGTTATTCAAATCCTATAACTCTCTACCCTTTTACAAATCCTGAGGCTCAAAATTCATATTTTTTAAGACTGAAAAAAAAACTATTTATAAACAAATATAATCATGTAAAATATAAAACTGTATTTATTAAAAAATTTAAAAATGTAAAGTTTTGATAAGATTATGATTACAAATGTTGAAAAGATGTGTTGCTAAAGTGATCAAAAGGAGATGCTTTTCCGCTTAGGGTTAGGTTCCAACATCACATGCTCTTGAACGTATATTAATATTATTTTAGTAGGATATTATATATATATATATATATGTTAGTCTCCAAAGTCCTGATATATATATATATGAATAATTTAGTCTTCTAATAGGATTTAGTAATCTGGTTCTGTTTTTCTATTTAATCTCTTATATGCGTATATATGTTATTTCATGCAATGGAAAACTAAGGCATTGATTATTGTCGATAACATTCATAAAATTGTTAAACAAAAAAAAAAGTCGAGGGAATCTTTCGAAAATCCAATGGAAATTCAAAACGTAACCGGCAGAAGAATATATATATGGAACAAAGGCTATGAACTTCAAACAGTTTTGCTTGCATTTCATTCGTATGTACCTGATTCTTTTTTTTTTCCGCTAACAAAACTCGATACCCAATTGTGTTATTAAATAACAGTTATTGTTTAATAATTCGGGTGATGAATTTGGTGATCCAATATAAATATATCTATCAAATATATACAAGAAATTATTGATTTTATTGTGGAGTTTGGCTATATATATATATACACATTCATATACATGCAATGCAATGATAAATCTGTAAACATTGATTAACATGTGGATTGCAATTTTAGAAAGCAAAGCTGCTGAAGTTTTTAAAAAATAACCTCCTAACGCAGGTCTAATACCGGAAGCATAGTTTATATATATATAAAAGTAGAGGTGGACAAACGATTGGTTAATTTTAAAACCAAATCGAATCGATTAAAATTAAATAATCGTTTGGTTATAAATTTTTAAAATCGAAATACTCGAATTCGAATTATCCATGACAAAATAAATCAAACTGTGGCCTACTTCTATACTGCATTGGTGATTAACACGCATTATATATTGTATTTATTGAGAGAAATTATTTGGTTATAATTTTTTATTAGATATACAAACTTTAATAGAACTAATTAATATTAAATATCATTATAAATTCTGAAAATTCAACATAATTAAATCTGAACTAACGTGAAGAATGTGTAAAATTGATACACCAAATGAAGACAAAATTACCCTGCTTTTCACAATAATAAAAACGTATTAATTAAAAATTGAGAAAAACTTATCGATCTCCTCCTGTGCTTAATTGATATGGGCTTAAATTTTGTATCCATAAACAAATAACATGGGCCCTTACATAACTTGCAGGAGTATCCTGGCCGTCCATTATATAAACTGTAAAAAAACCAAATATATATGGAACGTGGTCCCCACGTTCTCTCACGCCGTGACGAATGTCGTGGAGCCCAAGAGGGACAGGCTGGTGCGTCCACATCTCAAGGAGCACGTGCCACTCTCACGTGAAACCGACTGAAGTTCACACGTGTGAAAACACTAGCGGACCACAAAACCACACGTGTTGAAAAAGATACCCATTTTGGAAACCCCTCTCCTCTTTTTCTTATTTATTTTTTTATCCGATTCTGATTGGAGATAGAGAATAAAATATAATAATATGATCCAATCACAAAATAAAGTCGGAACGTATAAGACCTACAATCGAATTTACAAAAAAATAAATAGTGGACCTTTTCGAGAAAAGACAGACTATTCTTCCCGTTTCTTAGCTTATTATTTGTGAATTAACAAAATATAAGGCGGAATAGAGAAAATGGGAAGTGACAAAAAATAAAATAAAATAAATTGTTTATTTCACCAACTCCACACCATCAGAATTTAGACCAAATTAAACCAGAGTTACATAAACTCGATCTAAAGTCTTCCTCCTAAGTCTTCGGGCAACTCGACGGCCTATTGTTCCCGGACCCACCCAAGAACTGAAGCTCCTTCTTTTCCAAAATCTCCAATGAAAAGCCGCCGCCACGTGTCACCGTCCCATTGGACGAACCCACCGCCGATCCCTCGGGTGCGA